TGAGAAATCTGAAGTTATTCATAACAGGTTTTGTAAAAGGATAGTTCATTAAATTAAAAAATATCCTAATGTAATTCTACTTCTTTCCACTAAAACAAAGGGGAAAACATGAATTTATTGTTATTTAGCTATGATGTGCTGTGCTATGATTTTGATGGTCCGGCCCACTTGGCATCAAATTAGGCTGTATGCGGCCCCTGAACTAAAATGAGTTTGACACCCCTGCCTTATATGTAAGCAGGAGACCTTTGAAGTCAGCTCTAAACCTAACAGGAAGCCAATGCAGGGAACTAAGAACAGGGGTTATGTGTTCAGACTTCCTGGTGATAATTTGAGCTGCTGCATTTTGAATATGCTGCAAAGTGTTTTATTTGCAGCGTATGCTCCCAGATAACACAGCATTACAGTAGTCTAACCTACTGTATACAAAGGCATGTATCAGTTTCTCAGTGTGTTGAATAGTAAGAAATTGTCAGTTTTGCGATACCTTCGATACTGCATCCACGTGTGATTTGAATTGGAGGCTTATATTTAAGAAGCCACTTAGGTAAGCTAGGGCTGAGCTGCTGAAGGAAATGTTCAGTCCCTTGGAGTGGAGTGCGGAGATTATAAAATTCCTATCTGCAGGCCTGCCTCCAAACAGAACCTCGGTTTTCTGAGCATTTAATGATAAATTTGCTGCCATCCAGGTCTTGACTTCGTTAAAGCAATTGGCTAAAATAACAATAGATATGGTGTTGTTAGGGGTAACGAAAATGTATATTTTGGTGTTGTCAGCATAGGAGTGATAGATAACATTTTCTCATTATGTTTCCTAATGGCAGCATGCAGGGTTCGAAATTAACACCCGCCAACCCGCCAAATGCGGGTTAAAAATCATTTTGGCGGGTATTGATAAAAACTTACTAGCCAGTTTGGCCGGTGATGCATGAACCAATCATGCAAATCATGTCAGAGACGCTCTGGGTCGTTTGTCCCCTCCGTCCTACATTTCACATGAACACTACACTACGGGAGACGTTTTAGATACCTTTGGCAGCAGCACGCAGATACTGTACGCTTCGGTTTGCGGGTCCAATCAACGACGAGAGCGCGAAAA